AGGATAGCCCGTGGCGTATACCTCCTGTATCTCCTCTCTCAAACAATACGACGCCTTTTGTTAATAGCGGAGACCTGTGTTGGTACACGTGAGGAGCTGGATAAATCAGATAGATTGTGATGAGTGACTATTAATCCGGTCAGATCTGTCATTATCGCAACCCCTTGTGCCCCAGGTTGGGCGCCAAAATGAAACTGTCGTGGTTTAAACCCTAGACAGACAGCTTGTTCACTCACTCCCAGTGAGTGGTGCCGGGCTGAAAGCAATCGAGGCGCCCCCCCGGCTCTCCACTTCCCCGCTCCCAAGAGGGATGGGGAGGAGGATTGAAAGAGTGCAACTCCTACGGGTTGAGACAAGAACAGTCCAGCAACCAAAGTACAACACAAATCACCACCGCTACCACCAACGACAACGATAAGGGAAAATAACAAGGGAAGAGAATACAATACCACCTGCTGAGAAACGAGTCTGACCCAGAAGCCCGTGTCCTTCCAGGTAACTCCCAGTTACCCCCCCCCAGGCATGACGTGCTGTGGTACGGAATACCTCTTCGGCTAACGTGGGTCAGGCACCCCGTCTCTGCTTCCTCCCTGCTTCCCCTTCTCCCTGGCAGAGCACGAGCCTCACAAAGTCCTTGGTCAGGGTAAACATCACTTAGCAACAACCGAAAACATCGGTATCACCAGCACTGTTCCCAGGCTGGAAGTCAAAACACAGCGCTGCACCAGCTACCAAGAAGGAGAAAAATTAACTGCTACCGCTAAACCCAGGACAAGTCAAAATTCACCCAGTCTGGCACTGCCTAACAAATAACTGTAATGTTAACCTTGCCTTAGTGTAAGATAATTTCAAGTGGATGATAAACAGCCTCTACAAAACCTTTTTTATGTAAAAATGTAAGTGTCCAAAAGTTCGTAATATGTGTATTTTGAAGAAGGGAACATTTGACATCTGGAATGTAACGTATGATTTACATCTTTACACAACAGAGTTGTGTATCAAGTGTGTTCACTACATATAAAAAAACAAACTGCTGAGTTTGCACACTGAATATCCAAAAATAAGAAGTCTTAAAATGCACACTTTAAGGTATTTTAAAATACATTTAAAAATTTTTAATTTAAAAATATTTCCTAGCCACACATTTTCACCTTCAAGCATTACTGGCACTGCAAGGCTTTTGAGGAGATCAGGATACATCTTAAGAAAACTCAAGTGTTCAAAATGTACATTTTAAGAGCTGTTGAGTGCTGGTGGGAATATGGTGAAGGTGATGGAGCATTTGGTTCCACTCAGTTTCTGCCTCTTACTTCATGAGATTGCTGGATCACCATCTGCATATACCAGGCAGAAACAAGAACCACACAGAAATCTTTTTATGGCAGAGAAATGATGTGGAAGAACATATGTATTATTATATTAAGTGGGTATAAACTGGTCCCTGTAAACACCAGGTACAGGCACAACAGACTTTTCAAATGTTTTTATGATACTATAAAAGGAAAGAGAAATTTGTAATCTGTTCATCTCATAATGAAGTTAAATATTTGAAGTTAAAGATGTATCTTTAAAAAAAAAAAATATTTTTTAGGAAAAAAAAAAAAAATCTCACAGATCAAATGGTACCAATGTCTTTGGTGGAGGTAGGAAGCCAAATATCTGTTCTATTATTACACAAGATCTGCTCCCTCAACTGAAAAAGCATTTTTCTTACAAAATGCTCAGAAAATGGAGGAAAATGCAAATGTCTTGAAGAAGTGAAGCTCTTTTGTGGTGTTGCCAATATTCTATGCTTCATTTTGATGCAGAAATAATGTGAAACTTTAATGTTAATGTTTATTGTTGCATTTCCTTCAGAGGAAAAATAATTCAGTTTTGCTCTCTTGATGTGGTTACAATGCATAAATAAAAGTTTTTTCCCTATTCAGGGGGCATGCAAATAGATGATACATCCGTTTATACACCACTTAGGAGACAGAGAGTCACTACCAAAGATACTTGCTCCTGAGTGTTTCTCAGGCTGTCTCTATACAGGAATATTGAAACAGTTGATAAGATTTGTTCCAACATGGCTAAATTTGTACAAAGTATTGTGTGAGAGAGGCTCTTTCCCTCTCTCAGAGGCTGATTGTGCTTCCACTCCAGTGGAAATACACCCATCATGTCTGAATTTGTAATCCTTGTCATTTTCCAGTTGTCTGAGCAAAGAATCATAGAATCAACTAGGTTGGAAAAGACCTTTAAGATCATCAAGTCTAACCATTCCCCAGCACTGCCAAGGCCACCAATGAACCATATTACTGGTCACCATGAACATGTCACCATTTACACAGTTTGTGAACACTTCTGGGGACGGTGATTCCACCACTGCCCTGGCCAGCCTGTTCCAATGCCTTTTAGGGAAGAAATTGTTCCTAATATCCAGTCTAAACCTTCCCTGGTGCAGTTTGAGGCTGTTTCCTCTTGTCCTGTCATTTGTTCCTTGGCAGCAGAGACCAGCCATCTCCTGTCTCCATCTTCCTTTCAGGTAGTTGTAGAGAGCAGTAAGGTCCAATCTGAGCCTTCCCTTCTCCAGACTAAACACCCCAGTTCCCTTGGCTGCTCCTCATGAGAGCTGTGCTCTAGTGGGAAATAAGACCTGAATTTCTAATGTTAAATACCTCCCTGAAACCTTCAAGTTTACTAATTAAACCAGATGTTCGTTACGCATCTTGGTAAAAAAAAGTCACAAGCTGAAACCTTTTCTCTTAAGAGGTGCTCCTAAGAACCTGGAGTAGTTCTCACACCTTACTGTGAAAAATTAGTGTTAGTCATCCACTCCATCTCATAGAAAGATTAATGCCATAAAGCCCTTAAACACTTAAAAACTATATAAAACAGTAGTGACATGTCTGTGAGCAAGCACTCCTGCCAAACCAGGTTACAGCTTTCAGTAAAACACACCACTGATGAGATGACTGATTTGGAATCAAAGTTTAAAAAGGTGAAAAACATTACAATATTTTTTACTTTTGGTTTTCATTTTCTCTACAAAATGCCGTGTGAAACCATACAATGAAAGTAATTCCTACACAGGCAGTGGTGCCCTCAGAAAAGGCAGTGATCATCTAAAAATCCTTCACATTTTGGTTTAAGAACTGTAAGGACAGCAAGTCACAACACAAGAATGCCGTAAAAAAGCAGTTTCCAGGGTTTAAAGAAGTTTCAATTGAGCCCTCACTGCACTTTTTGTCTGTTTTTTACTTTAAGGAGAAAGGCATTTGGAGTTGCTCTGTTTTGATTTTTGTCTTTGACAATTACGCAGTGCTTCCAAAAGAATACTGCCATATTTTAATGCAGCTACATAAGAATAGTAAATAAACCAGTCATTAAATCCCTGTTTTTTTTCTCCATCATGAATCCTTATTAAGACCTTCATCTTTCTGCATCTGTTATGCAGTACAATTATTTCATTTTTCAACTAAAAGTAGGTATTCATACATAATTGGATTCTTATATTAGTAAACCATTATTCCACTGGCTGGCTATTATTTGGTTCATGTCACAAGGACATGGATTGCTACAGAAAGGCCAACATTAGTCACAAATAACCATCCTAATAAGGACATTCACACTGTATTATTATTATTATTATTATTCTAATTAACATTGAAATCCAGAATTAGAGGGAGGAATGCCTGTTGTAAAATATTTCCCAGCCACACATTTTCACCTGGCACTGTAATACCTTCAAGGAGACCAGGTTTGGCAAAGATAAATCTTAAGAAATCAGTTCTGCTTTTTTTCAGAATGAAAGGGATAAAATTCCAATACTAATGACTAATTGTTCTGAAAAAATATGCAGTTACTAATCTGTTTTAAAAGAGGTCCTATGCTCCTTTACATCAGTTAACCTTATATATAAAAAATATATATATATATATATATATATATATATGCAAAATATATGTTCCCTAAAGGACACCTATTACCTGAGTCACTTCTCTTTGGCCAACAGTGTGTGTTGAAAGATGGCACAGACCTCATAGGAATGTCCTTGGCTTTGTCATTTTACACAATTAAAACAAGCTTCTTTTTGCTGGCACAGAATGGGCAAAAGAACCCAGGGACTTCGATTAGGTTCTGAGGCTCCCTGGCGACAGCAGCCATCATGTTACACAAATTCTTTACTTAAACTCCTTGCAAGCATCTGTTAAACCTCAACAAAGATGAAAGTAAGCTTATAGTAACCAAACAGAATTACAGAATTACTTCAAACTCCTTCTGTGTCTGAATAAATCCTCTGTGGTAGTATGTACTATGTAAGAGGTGAAATTTGTCATTAAATTGTAACAAAAATAACCTCTGGAGGTCTTGTACAGCCTCCAGGTTAAAGCACGGCTCACCTCAGCCACCCTGCTCATCTGAACTGGGGTTCAGGAAGCCAGTGTACCAACCGTCCAACTCCTAAGGCAGCACCAGTGGACTGAGACTTACCAACATGAAGTCAAAACCACTTATTTTATACTTAAGCCTAAAGATGGCACCTCCTGTGCACTGCAGATCTAATTCAGAGGTTGTGTCCCAAGCAAAAAAAAAAGTGAATTTATGTTCAGCCACTCCAAAACCATGCTAAGATCTAAAACTGAACAGTGAAGATATTGATTTAGTCATATAGTCCAGTTTATTCCCAAAATCCACACATGGACGCACACTAATGAACTCTAATTAATTCCTGTATGTTTTCCCTGAAGGTATCAGTATTTTGAACACTTCCATAAGCTGCCCCCGATGGTGTGAGTTACAGTCTTCTCTCCAAAAGCCAGCCCATTATAAAATACAAACCTGACCTCAACAAACATTTTAAAAACACAGTAATGAGAACACCTTTTTAAAACACATTTTAATTCCGCTTAGACATATCCTCACTGAGACTTTTTGCATACGCAGAACTTTTTTTCCTGTTACAGCAATAAGAGGACTCAAAACTGGCTAATGAAAGCAGCAGCTATAATGACAGAAGGACCACTGAAAATTTCAAGGGAGCCAAGCCATAAGGATATAAAAAACAAACATAAAACTGCCCCAAAAAATCAAATGTTCAAAATTCAGAAGATGATAGGGTATGATACTTTGAATTATACTGGAAGCACAATAAAAAATAATGCTGCTTTATTTGGGGTTTTAATGAGTACGCTCTGCTGTGGCAGTCTGAGACACTACTCCCAGCTGCTTATTGCACCCATTTGCCAGGGTTACTGCTCCTGAACACAGACCTCAACACCTCATCTGGAGTAACTGATGTGTGCAGTGAGTATTTCCTGAGGGTCACCATACAATAATTACAGTAATTTGCAGCAGACATGTCAGAAGTAATTGTAGCTAGAAAAAGGTACTAACATGCTACTTCACTGCAAACACAGGAGTGAGAACATTAATAAACTGCAACAGCATTAAAAATGGAGTGTATCATGATGAGCTACAAAATAACCCCTTTGGGAACAGCATAGCTCTGTAATTAACACAGTCCTAATTCTTGCCCTCCCCCATAAAAAGCATAAACAGGCTTTAGTAAAGACTGAGGGTCACAAAGATGTTGGCTTACATGAAAGCAGTTAGCAGCAAATCACCTTGGTCCACAAGTACAAGCTGGGGCCATTCTCCCCTTTATATGCTTCTACGGAAGAAGTGCTAGAATATTCAGGTAACATGAGTAGCCTTTGCTACACGCCACTGGATAAATAAGAAGGGGCATGAAGACGATGAGTAAGGAATTATTAAGAAGGCACTAAATTTCTATTTGAGAAGCCTTTCAGTTGCATGTTATGCAAAACCTCCTCCAATGTCCACAACTGTGTTCTATACAGTTCTTCTAGTAAGGAAAATACATTTCTTTGACCAAGAAATCTTCATGTTTAAAGAGACTAAGTATTATAAGGTCATTCGTTGCCTGCTTCCCTATTTACTATGCTACTATGGCTTTTCTGAATTCAGAATTTTGTGGCTCTAAAATGTCGTAATAAACCTTACTTTTATCAAAGTTTTCTCGGATGTAAAGCAAATCTTCTACAGAGTACACATCTTCCTTTCCTGTCCAAACGGTGAGACTGTACCTATATTAAAAAAGAAAACAACAAAGGGAAAAAAACAGAAAGAGAAAAAAGAATATATTATCTTCACATAAAAGCATGTTAAGTCAGAATCAGTGCACAAAACAATTTAAGAACTGAAAGAATTAAAGAACTGAAAGATAAACTAAACGAAAAAAAGTATTTTCAATGTAATTGGGTATGTATCACAGGATCACAGAGTGCTTTGGGTTGGAAGGGACCTTAAAGCTCATCCAGTTCCAACCCTCTTCCATGGGCAGGAACACCTTCCACCAGACTAGGTTGCTCTAAGCCCCATTCAGCCTGGCCCTGAACACTGCCAGGGACTGGGCAGCCACAGCTTCTCTGGGCAATGTATGTACACATAACTGAGCTGTATTTATATAAACAAGTCTATGCCTGTATAATAAAGGCAACTGAAAACAAAGGCCCTCAAACTTACCTATCTGACTGCTGGATTAACCAGCGCAGCTCAGATACTGACTGTCGTACCAGTGCTGCTCTTACAGCGAAAGTTACAGGCTGGGGAAGCGTGTTGCATATCTGAGCCATTTCCTTCACCATCACCCAGTCATAGCCTGCAGTAAACACCACCTCATTAAAAAGAATTCTTCACAAATACAGTCTGCATCAAAATAAGGACACAAAATGGTTTGGTTGGAAGACAAAATAAAAGCAAATAAGGGTTTTGTGAAAAATCACATAATTCTAAAATGAAATGGCTCAATGATTACGAGTAAGAACTGTCATTGTCTCAGTGAAGAACATCAGTACTGAAGTAGAAAAATAAACTTCTTTTGAAAATCTTCATTTCCAGAATACAGAATGTATAGAATGTGGGATCTGTTATAAGATACAATCTTATTATCTTTTATGAGATGGCATATAGCTTATTTTGAATCAATTATGAAATTAATTTGGAGAAAACAGAATACGCAGTGTCAGAATTAAATTTTCTATCTTTACCTTTATTGCACTTGTCAGGGTGCCAGCCAGTTGTCCACCCTAGTGATAAGGTCACATTTGGGAAAAATGAGGTGACAGTGCCAAGGAATCCTGTTGCATCCACTACAGAGCTACTGCCATTAGGTCCTGGTAGGATGTCTGCATTGATCCAAATGGGTCGCCTCAAGTGGTGCTTCACATGTTCAAGAAGTTCCAAGGAAGGCCGTAGGGCATCTAGGCTGTACCAGTAACACATGGGTGAGGTGAGACACTTCACTTGGACTGAGGATGGGAAATGTACAGTGTATACACCAGATGGACATGTCAGTGAAGCTGTACCTGTCAGTCTGAGGACCCTTTTTACCATCAGGTGACTACCACTGCTGGTAAAAAGTACTGGAAGTTTCTCATTTCCCTGCCTCCAGGTGTGAACTTCCACCTCATGGCTCTTCTAACTTGTTAAGACTTGGATGATATTGAATGCTTGCAAAGGATTTAATCCAGGGAGCCACTGGATTTGTTTAGATGAGACCACTGGGCTGAAGATAGTATTCATAGTATTACATGAAAACTAATACTTGTAGCTTTCTAATCTGGAAAATTAGAAATGAATGAATTTAAATATATTTATTCTATTTATTATATATGTATCAATGATGCTTATATGCTGTTCAAGGGGTAAACGTAATTGCTCCCAACCCTAACAGCACTTTAAGCGTTAAAGCTTTTATCACTATTTCAAATCCAGCCAACAGACTGGTTACCTTCACATCTGCACAAGATAATGCACCTATACTAGGAGAAAAAAAGGTCAAAACCTCAACATTTTCTGATAATTTTAGCAGAGTGAAAGGGCACCCATCTGAACATTCTGTCCCTGGTGGGGCTTGCTCCCACAGCTCAAAAGCCTGGCATAATAGTTGCAGCATGAACAAGTCTGCCCATTAGCTGTTCTTCCTACAGGTAGTTACTGAGATGTAGTCACTTGAGCAACCAATGCAGTGCCACTTGTAAGCATTTAATAAGGTAACTTAAGTCACCTATTCTCACTTGTCTCTCAAATCAAAAGAAAAAGCATAACTACAGGGCAAACAATAACCTTTCTCTGTCTTACTAAAACTTTCAAAACCAGCAGTATAGGGGAAGAAAAGGAAAAGTGGGAAAATGGGGAAAAGGTATGAATGCAAATAAAATACTTATTTTTCTCTCACAGCAAATTAATTAATGCTCTATGTAACATTCAGGAATTTAAAATCATTATGGTCAGAGTTGTGATTTCCTTACTAACAGCTAGGACCTGCATTATCTCCCAAAATCTTGTAGACCTGACAGACAGCTGAGCCAACAGAAAGTTCTTCATGTTGCTCTGCAGAGTTAGTTAGTTCCACATCCTAAACTGGTCCCCCTGGGTGTCACAGGAGCACCAGGAAAAGGAAGGGGATGAGAAGGCACTGTGAAGAATGCCTGTTTGGACAACACAGATGATGTTTAACTGCTTCCCTATATTCCCAGTTTCAAAGAAATGCCATCCAAAAAGAACATCACTCATTTGGCTACAACAGCAGTGTGTACTTACATTTTTTATACGCTTTTATATAATAGACTTCTATAATGCAAGAGGATTTTAAAAGCTTATAAAAGATAAGGCAGATAATTTTAAAATCAATTTAAACAATAAGTAAAATGAAAAAAAAACCCAAAACAACAAAAACCCAACAAAAAACAACCAAGCCCAGCAAATACTCCCAAACAAATGCCTACTTCTCCTGTCCTTTCCCTTCTCTGCCCTGGGAGATATCTACAGATCCTGTAACAATAAAAGGATTTAATCTGCCCACATCTTTTGGATTTTCATGAACTTTTACGTGAAAACTGTGACTACATTTCACAGAACAACGGGTAAAAATCACATTTTACAACTGTCTAGCATTTGGTTTGCATTTGTATAGCATACTTAGACTGATGAAGCTCTTTTTAATGTGGAGGTGGGTTCTCCATCTGCTGCAAAAATGTATGTTGTACATGCAAATTCAGACAAAGCTAAAGTCAGGGCTTTCAGGTGTCTGAAAATCTCAGCTCACTTTGAACCCCATTTCAGGCTTTTCAAGGAAGTATATGGGGTTTTCATGTGTATTTTCCATTACATGCAATGAAACAGTTAATGGTTATAATTTTTAAATGAACCCCTGAAAATTTTAAGTCATAAGTTAGGCCAAAGAAACTGAATTTACTTCAATATACATGCACTCTACTACACAAAAAGCAAGAACAATTTTCTGTATTAGAAACCATGCCGAAGAAATCTAATACCGTATTTTTATGTGTTACAAGAGCAGATACTAAAAGGAGCATACCTAAATCTGGAATTGAAATTATTAGTATTGGAGTTAATCAGAAAACAGAATTCCTCTCCTTTGGGGAGGGAAAAATAAACAGCTCTGGGAAAATACAGATATTCATACTAGTACAGGATGATGTTTCTAAATCATGATGAACTTGAGCACACCTGGAACAGATACGGCTTTTCAGCAAGCTTTTCAGAAGCTCCTTGAAAAACCTTGACACTTTCATTCCCCTTCCATGGCAGAGAATGACACCAAGAAAGCAGAAGAGACTTGTGTGCTGCCAAGCAGATATGCCATCTCAGCCCCATCTGCAGCCTGGGAGACACTGCTGGACTTCCCGGTCAGAAGGCTGTCTCTCCTAATTTCTTTCCACAAGCAGAAAACTTTCCATAAGCTTCCCAGATAGGTACCATGATGGTAAAACTCTGCTCATTAGCAACTAAGTAACTAATTCACCGAATATGAAATCATTGTTTATAGTTCAAAACACTTCTAAAGCTTTTATTTTTCTGATGCATTTAGTAATTCTAACTCTGTTTGATCATTTTCTGTTCAGGAAAAAAATGCATTACACTAATTGCACCAAAGAAAAACTTTGGTCTAACACCACCAAAAAGACAGCTCTGCTTGTAAAGTTTTTAATAGCAAGAACACAAACAATAAAAAAATCTTTTTCTCCTGAGATACCTCTTAAAATCCAGCTTGATGCCTTTATCCGTGTTGACAATCTCTTTCAGCCATTCCCGCAACGTGTTGTCACTGTCTGTTTCAGGTGGATGAGCCATGATAGGGTCTCCATTTCCTCCCTGGCCACCACGAAGAACAACATCTGCTTCTATCATGTGAACATCACCTGTTGATATAAAAAATGATCTAACAGAAGCAGAAACAGTAATTCCAACTTCTGCTTCAGAGTAACAACTAATTACAGGGCAAGTCTTTCTGCACTGGGCTGTGTACGTAACTCCACAAAGGTCACTCAGTTGCTGTTTGTGAAGCTACAAAAGCTAGGTACTTTAGGCTTCTCTAGGTGCTTTAGTCACTTAACTCTTCAGAAGTCTAGAATTACGTGAAAAATTAGTTTTGTGAATATATTTGGGCAAGTAATCACTTCCACCCCACCCCCCCCGAGGAACACCAAAATGAGTATCCAAAATGTGAATCCACTCTTGCTAAATTTCAAATCTTTTCCTCTTAAAACAGGGCTTCAGAGAAAAGGTGACCAGAAGTTTTTAACACTTTCCTCACTTCATTCTCAAAATTGATCATCTCAGCCAAAACGTCTTAAAAAAGGTCAGCCAGGAAACAGCACCTACCAGGAAAATGTAACTGAAACACAACTGAGTGGAAATCTTAGGAATGCTGCAAGTTCTGGAAAACAGCTTTATATAATAGTAAGTTTCTGAGAGTCTGGGAAGTGCCACTGGCTTTGTAGAGAATTCAATATATGCAGTTACTTAGACTGAAATAATAAAAAAGATAATTAAGCAGACAACAGAAAGCAAATGATGTATAAAATTACATAAATAACTTGTATATTTCCCCAATATTCAGAGACATTAAATTAAAATTCACTCAATTAAACTGCTTACATGAAACCTGGAATACATTATAATAATCGCAAAAAAAAGGGGGGGGGGGGGAGCAGTAATAAAAGTGTCCTGTTTGAACAACATTGTATTACAACATTACACAATTTCAAACCATCCTAAAAAGCCCCAGAAGAAGATCCATCCCACAGAGTCAAAACTACCTGGGAATCACAGACTGGTTTGGAGCACTCAGCTCTGCACAGATGACTTAAAACAGCATCCTGCTCCTTGTATGAGACTGGCTTGTTGGAGACTGGGTGGACCAGCCCGCACCTAGAAGAGGACTTTCAATCTCCCCATTTACATCTTCTGTCTGTCAGAGCAGATCCACAGAGTGTCACTGCAAGGGAGAGGGTGACCTACCATTGAGATCAAACTGGGAAGAACAGGGACACCATGACCACTGCTGCCAGGGCTGCAGTGCTAAGGTGCTGTGATCTAACCTCAGTATTAGGAAAAACAGCCCCACCTGCAGAAGCAGATTTTGTATTCCTTTATGCAAAAATATACTCTGAACACCTGACAGATTGAAATGAGCTCTTAGGCAGAAGTTCTTCCCTGCAAGGGTGGTGAGGCCCTGGCACAGGTTGCCCAGAGAAGCTGTGGCTGCCCCATCGCTGGCAGTGCTCAAGCCCAGGTCGGACGGGGCTTGGAGCAACCTGGTCTAGTGGAAGGTGTCCCTGCCTGTGGCAAGGGGCTGGAACTGGATGAGCTTTAAGGTCCCTTCCAACCCAAACCAGTCTGGGATTCTATGGACACCGTGGGTAAGTTTAGTACAAGTGAATGACACCGGAAGTCTCTGCAGCCACGGCTCTGCTCTGCCGGCTTCGTTCAGCCGAACGTCTGACCCGAGAGAGGGGCTGCAAACCGTCAGCCTTTTCACAACTAACGGAGTCTGTCTGACGGAGGGAACACCTCCAACCCCTGTCCTGCAGCCCAAAGGGGCAGACAGCCACGCTGTGATGGGCCTCGCAGGGCACAGCAAGGCGGGGCGGGACAGGGCAGGAAAGCCCGTTGCACTTACTTCTCGCGGCCACCCTGGCTCGGGCCTTGCTGTTGGCGGCGTGGAACCAGCGGACGGCGGCAGCATCTCTGGCTTCGATGCGCTGCGACCTCAGAAAGTGATCCACCGCCTGCTCGCTCCAGGCACCTGCGGCACCGCCGAAAGCCGAAGAATTCTCTCAGCACCGCCGGCGGAGCGAGATACCGGCCCTTCAGCACCGCAAATCGGGCAGCCCGGCCCCAGCACCCGCCGCGGCACCCCCAGCAACGCAGCTCTTACCCTGCCCATCGTCCGCCATGGCCCTGCAAGGCCCACTCTGCGCGGTGGGAGCGGGGCTGGCTCCTTACCGGGAGACCGCTTCCTCAGGAAACACGGGAACGGCGGAGGAGAGCGGGGCAGCGCCGTCTGGTGGAGAAAGGGGAAAGGAGGGACGTGGAGCTGTTGGAGGGAGTGCAGAGGAAGCCGCGGAGATGCAGCGAGGGCTGGAGCAGCTCTGCTCTGGAGACAGGCTGAGAGAGCTGGGCTGGTTCAGCCTGGTGAAGAGAAGGATCCTTAAGGGGAGACCTTAGAGCAGCTGCCAGTGCCTGAGGGGGCTACAAGAAACCTGGAGAGGGCTTTGGACAAGGGCCTGTAGGGACAGGACAAGGGGAATGGCTTTAACCTGACAGAGGGGAGACTGAGATCAGCTCTTAGGCAGAAGTTCTTCCCTGTGAGTGTGCTGAGGCCCTGGCACAGGTTGCCTAGAGAAGCTGTGGCTGCCCCATGCTTGGAAGGGACTTTAAAACTTTTCACACCCCGTGCCATGGGCATGGACAACTTAACTGGATCGGCCACAGCACTGCTGCCGTGCCTGTGCCTGTGCCAGGAGACCTGCCCTACTCCTGCTGCCTGGGGAATGCCCTTTTCCAGAGGGTGTGAAGTGTTGAAGTAAAAAATGCTTTTACTTCAGCCAGGGGATTGCTGGAGCCCTGCTACTGCTGTCGACAGCACAGCCTCTTGCAGGGTGGGGGAGAGTCCGGTGGGCTGGAGGCCTTCATTTTTTGGGGTCACCAACCAGGATTTGAGAGGCAGTGGGTGCTGGCCTGCTGCCACCAGCTGCGCCAGTTCCTCCTGCGTCTGCTCCTGCCTTTCAGGGACAGGGGTAAAGGAGTGGCGGCCAGGACCCCTGCACAGGGCAGCCTCTGACGTGCAGAGTTCCTCCCCCTGGTCAGAGTCTGCAGGGCTGCTGGGGGAGGCTGGTTTGGGGTCAGGAATCACCAGCCTGGAACTGGTGGAGCTGGAACTGTTGCCGGGGTCGCTGCTGGAGCCGGAGCTGTGTTACTGTGCTAGAGCGCAGTAGCCTCCGGGCCTCCTCACTGCATTGGCATTCAATGATTCCGAGGACACCATTGACCAGCACTGCTGTGTGTTCCCCAAGGACAGGCTGCAGCATGTGCACTAGTCTCCCACTCTGGACCATAGACACTCAGGGCGTGCAGGATGGTGCTCTCAGCAGTCTTTACTATCCACCACTGTGCCCCGTGTATTGCCTGGAGCTGCTGGCACAGCCAGGGCAGCACAGGATTGAGGAGGTGTTCCTCTCTTTGAAATAGTTCTGCCCACACTGCAGGCAGGAGGCCACCCACAGCCTGCTGCCTTGCAGCCTCCTGTTCAGCTGGGGACAGTGTCCCTTGAAGAAACAGCAGAGATGCCAGAGGCGAATGGGGGCTTTCTTCGGCCTGGTGTCGAGGTTCTCTTCTTTCCTGGCTGCTGGCATGTGGCAGCTCTCTGGCGGATACTGGCATAGAAACATAGAATAGTTAGGGTTGGAAAGATCATTTAGTTCCAAACCCCCTGCCATGGGCAGGGACACCTCACACTAAACCATGTCACCCAAGGCTCTGTCCAACCTGGCCTTGAACACCACCAGGGACGGAGCATTCACAACTTCCTTGGGCAAACCATTCCAGATCCTCACCACCCTTACAGTAAAGAACTTCCTCCTTATATCCAAACTTCCCCTGTTTAAGTTTTAACCCATTACCCCTTTTCCTATCCCCAGAGTCCCTAATCAAGAGTCCATCCCCAGCATCCTTATAGGCCCTCTTCAGATACTGGAAGGCTGCTATGAGGTCTCCACGCAGCCTTCTCCAGGCTGAACAGACCCAACATTTTCAGCCTATCTTCATACAGGAGATGCTCCAGTCCCCTGATCATCCTCGTGGCCCTCCCCTGGACTTGTTCCAGCAGTTCCATGTCCTTTTTATGTTGAGGACATCAGAACTGTACACAATACTCCAGGTGAGGTCTCACAAGAGCAGAGTGGAGGGGCAGGATCCCCTCCTTTGACCTGCTGGCTGGACAGAGCCTTGGGTGACATGGTTTAGTGTGAGGTGTCCTTCCCCATGGCAGAGGGGTTGGAACTAGATGATCTTAGGGTCCTTTCCAACCCTAACTGTTCTATGATTCTATGACCAACACCCCTGAGCTGTAGTGATAAATTCACATTTTCTGTGACTGGAGAAGGCACTCCCTGACGTACATGCCAGTATCCACCAAAGAGCCGCCCTCTGCAGGGTCCTGCTGACCCCAGAGAGAAGGTCCCAGCCTCCAGGACTCTCCCAGCCCTGCAAGAGGCTGCACGCCAGCAGCAACAGCAGTGCTCCATCGACTCTGGAGTGAAGGAGATCAACAAATGCCTCTTCCACTTAGAGTCTCCAGCTGCTGCTGGGGTAGAATCAGAGAAAAACAACAGCCTGAAGATCAGTTAGAGTTCGTTTCATCAGCGTCAGGGGACAAAAAGGCCTATGCTTTAATGTAAAATTGAGTGTTCCTGTGAGGGGCAGGTGGAAAGGGAAAGGTTCAGCATATCAGGGGTAGGAAGAGGAGGTAATAGCAGTGGAACTGATGGTGTGAACACTAATAGTGGATCTTTCAGGGACGTTTAAAATGAAGGAAGAAAGAACAAACCAAATCAAAAGCAACCACCCAGACACCACCCGCCCCCAAATTCCAGAAAAAAGCAGGTATGTGGTGTTCTTTTGGAAAGTGTTTTCAGACAAATCCAGTCTGTTTTTGGGATGATCCTTTTGTTGAGGAGCAGGAAGCAATTACTAAAGTCAGTCCAATAAGGAAGGAAGAAGTAGAACCTTTTAGACATCATGTTTTTGTTTCTGATCATTCTCTGAAGTCCCTGACACAGGATATTCGGAACATGGAGAAGGCTAGGACATGCATGCACTGGCAAAGTTGTAGTTTTGTGAGCTGTTTGTAACAGGCAGTAAGCACAGGAACTGAACAGGTTGGCACTGTCCAGAATGTGCTCCTGGCACCTGGTGCTGTGTTGGCTGGTGTTGCTCACCAGGGAGCTGATGCTTCCACATGGCCTTTCATACGCCCTGTATGTTCACGTGACATTAAGAACAGAGGTACTCCCCCCAGCACATAATAAAACGAGGAAAAGTTAATTGCCAGGGAGGATGCCTCCACAAGGACACCCTCCATGAGGACACCTATTTTCGATGACTACTACAGAATCCTGGGGACACTCTGCTCTGGTACCAACTACAGACTCTGGAGGACTCCCACCACCAAGGACGATAACTACAGACCTCCAGGACACTGCTGGATCCACAGTGGTGACTATCACTCTGCATTTTGAGTTCTTGCTTCCTTTTTTTTTTTTCAATCTGTCCTATCGCTGTCTGGTTTTTTTAATAATTTCCTTTTTTATAATAATTGTCTTTTGTAATAAACCAACTGGTCAATTACGGTACTTGACCTCCACTTGATTCTGAATTTCACTCTTGGGATCATGAACAAAACAGGTCCAACACTGGGGTTTTCTCCAGTCGGATCCTGACAAGGCTTTACACCAGTCCGGACAGATGACATCCATAGTCCTTCCTTTATCCACTGGTGCAGTAACTCCATCATAGAAGGCCACTAGGTTAGTCAGACATGACTTGCCTTAATGGAGCCGTGCTGGCTGTCTTGAGCCACCTCCCTGCCCTCCATGTGCCTCAGCATGGCTCCTAGAAGGATCTGTTCCATGATATTCCCAGTTACAGAGGTGAGCTGACAGGTTGATAGTTCCCAGTCCTCCTTTCTACAGTTTTTACAAATGGGTGTGCTATTGCCCTTTTTTTTCAGCCACCAGGGACCTCACTTGACCACTGTGACTTCTCAAATACCATGGAGAGTTGTTTGGCAGCTGCATCAGCCAATTCTCTCAAGATCTCAGCAGGTCACATAGATCTGTGTACGTTCAGCTTCCTCAAATGGTCACAAACCTGATCTTCACTTACAGTGGGTGGAACTTTGCTTCCATAGTTTCTGCCTTGCAGTTCACATACTCAAGAGGTGAGGCAAAAAGTTGTTGAATACCTCAACCTTCTTCTTGTCCTTTGTTACCAGTTTACCAGTCTTGCTCATCATGGGGGAGTTAGTAACACAGGTTGACTCAGCACAGTCAGTAACCCATCTTGTATTGTGGCACAGGACACTCAGGCAGCAGGAGGACAGATTCTTTCAAAAGCACATTCTTGAATTTTCCATTAAGGATAAAAAGAGATACAGAAAAAGGGAGTTTAGGTTTCTTCCATAACTATTGAAGAAGAAGAGTACTTGCATGATTTGTTTGAAACATTTGTAAATGAAAGCACAGCCCCTGTACTGAGTAAAAGATCTACAGTTAAATCACTTTTATTTTACTTCTTATAATTGACTTGTGGATTATGTTCATTTTTATTGCATTTACAGGCTGGAATAGATGGTGAAGGCTCAGTGGCAGGGAATGTATCTATGACTGTAGCATTCACTGGGACAGGATAGCTCCCTTGGAAGTAGATTCACTGTCTGAACTGTGCTGCAGAGTCTGGAGCACTGCAGGTTGTGCTTGGAGCAAGAGCACAGAGGGACACTTGAGGATGATCCCAGAGAGGGTGGCTTGGTTTACTTTTTATGTGCCAACTTTAAAGGAAGCAGTATAGTCTGGTTAATAAGGCTATGGGCTTTGTACTCAGGAGGCCTGGCCTCCAGCTGGATCAAACTGTCCCTATTTGCATTCCCATCTTAAAAATGTGTAAAGCTCTTTCAGTCATTTGGGTGAGTAGAATTAATTCTTCCATACTCTGAAGGACTGACAAAAAATCAGGTGAAATCCCTGCACTGGGTTTCCTCTTCCTGAATGGGCAACAGGTTACTCTGAGCAGCGAGAAGGTCTATATCTGCATGGGATTTAATGTGGCTTTCTGCAGTCAGCTTGAATGTTTCCCTGTAATAAAAAATAATAATTAAAAAAAAATCTCATTG